TGCTTTATGGTGATTTTTTGTATACTATACCCTATGCATTGCTTTCCGAGCTCCTCCAGGTAAAACTTAATTTGTTGTCTGTGGCTTAATAAGTTTTATCCATCAACAGAATTTTTTGTCTTCCTTCCATTTCTTTGTAAGGAATTTCAGACCCTCGAATTGTCTCACTTATTCATTTTCTCGTGTTTTATTGGCAGATATATTTCAAGAAGAAGAAAACGGGGGGTATTTCTTTCAACAGCACGTCACCGTTGACTCATGTTGATGAGAAGCTTTGCTATCAAATTCTACATGAATACAAGATTCACAATGCAGAGGTATTCAGTCTCAGCAATTTTATTAATGTAATTTGCTAGAGAACTAATAACTGACATCATAGCTGGAGGAATAATAATTGAACTATTTTGCACAGTCAGATAATGAATTACTTTGTCGAAAAACTTTACTGGGAATATATTCAACTTGGTTAAGTATCAAGGTTTTCCAAGTCATTTGATAGTTACCTGAAAGAAAAGGTGCTCTTTTGCTGATGTTTTCCCCCTCTTTTTGTTATCGTTGGTGTGTGGGTGTTATTTCGTGAAGATGCTACAGTGGATGACCTTATAGATGTTATTGAGGGGAATTGTAAATACATGAAGTGTAAATATGTCTACAACAAGATTGATGTTTTGGTATTGATGATGTGGACAAATTAGCACGACAACCAAATTCTGTTGTCATTAGCTGCAATTTGAAGGCAGGTTTTACACTTCAAATTTCCACTTAGTATGCACCAGAGTCAAATTAGTTAATTGTTGGTTTTAGCGATGGACTTGTGCAAAAACTGAACCTATATGACATGTGCAGACCTATTACATTCAGACAGGGTATGACAGTGCATTTGTTAACTTGTCTATAGTTTTTCTTCCATATGAAGCATGATTCTGCGTATCTCATGTGCATTACAAGCCAGAAAATATATGTAGATAATGTGGTTTTAGGCAGATCAGTATATTCGGATTTATATTATTGTCTAGGTAATTGAACTTCTCTTGTTATGCTCTGCTTAAACAGCTGAATTTAGACAGAGTGCTTGCAAGGATGTGGGAGGAGATGGGGCTTGTTAGAGTTTATACAAAACCACAGGGCCAGCAACTTGATTTCACTGATCCTGTCGTTCTTTCTGCTGTATGTAACATATCCTCATGTCATTTCACGAATTTATTTTGATGGAAATAGTTATCTTTCTCTTCCGATTCTTTAATATGTGTTTTTTTATTTTTGTTATGTGATTTTAGGATGGAGGTGGCTGCACAGTTGAAGACTTCTGTAACCACATACACAGAAGCCTGGTGAAGGATGTGAAATATGTGCTAGTGTGGGGCATAAGTGCAAGACACTACCCGCAACATTGTGGCCTCAGCCATGTGCTTCAGGATGAGGATGTGGTTCAGATTGTTAAGAAGAAGGTGAGCAGACCATTTTATTTTGAGAATTAATTCTATTGTCTTGTATGTAATATGGTAAATCCGTGGATGCACTCTGGTTCATGGTGCTTAAAATCCCGATCAGGAATCGTAAATTTTGAATCTACGATTCCAAATTACCAAAACGATCGATCACATGAAAAATCGCTGGGAAGTAGTATCGCAGTAGGATCAGTTGAATCGGAAGTCGGATCGTAGAATCACACGATCCTACCGATCTTATTAAATCGTGTTTTTTGTTATTCTTCGGATTTATTTTGGCCTACAACTCACTTGGGCAAATAAATTTAATCATTTTAAATATAATGCCCAACTCTTTATCCTAATTGCATTAAAATATAAAAATAAGAAACAAAAAACAGAGACCCAACGTCAATGGTAGATACTATCCACTTTTGAGTTATCAAAACTTCAAAATTTTCATGTAGTTTTGCTTTATTCTTCTTAACTTTTCTTTTCTTCTTTCTTTTCTTTGTCAGTCTTGAAAAATTAAAAAAAAAAACTCTTTTCTTTTTAAAATTTTTTTTTATTTCTTTTCTCGTTGTTCTTTCTTCCTGCCTATTCTTTGTCAATTCTGAAATCAAATTAAAGAGACTTTTTTTATTTATTTTTTATTTTTTATACTTCCCCCCATTGTTCTTTCTATCTCGGTATTGTTCTTTTTCTGAACCAAAAAGTAATCTTTTCAATTAAATTGCTCAGACAATTAGACAACTAAATTGTGCTTTTATCTTTCTATTTCTCTGTTCCCTTTCTCTATTTGTTTAGGCTTTAATATTTTCTGTGACATTTTGCTTGATTGTTCTAATGATGCTTTTGTATAGAGAAAATCATGAAATTGAGTTCCAAGTGTTTTCACCTTTTTACAATTATGGTTAGTTGGTTACTTCTGATTTCTTATTGTAGCCTAGTGATCTCATCCACGAGACTTGCTAGTAACTGTCTGACAACATGACAACGAGTAAAGTATCAATTTCTGCAAATGTTCCATTAGTATAGTTTTACTCGTTCATTTATACAGTTGTACTATTGAAAATGAATTCAGTTAGATGTATGCTAAACATAGAGGGTTTCGAAAATCATTTGCTCCCTGTTTTTTATTTTTTATTTTTTTATTTTAATAAATGGTTTATCTGGGAATAGAACTTAGAATCTTATTAGTCATTGCCATATTTGCCCCCGGAATTCTTCTTATTATCATTATTATTTTTATAATGCCTTCTTGCAACCGAACTGAGTATACAGGTTGACACCCAAAGTGACATTCTAACTTGGCTTTTCCAGGAGAAGGACGACGGAGGAGGAAGAGGCCGGTTCAAATCACATTCAAATGCCCCTGCTCGAATATCTGATAGAGAAAAGAAGGCTCCCTTGAAGACATAACTACATGGATGGAGCTTGCAATTTTGTGCGGTGTTCTTGTATCAAGGGTGGTGCCAGAGATCGACAAGTTTTAGTACCTAAAGATGATTGTGAAAGTCTATATCTATCACCATATGAACTATAGTCGTCATGCTAGAGATTTCTTAACATTCTTTAATGGAGCCTACTCATAAGAGTAGAAATGTTTTAGCCTCTGGGTTGTATTTTGAGTTGTTAGTCAGAGTTGGAGTCGAATGTGAGGTAATAGTGCAGCTTTCTTACTTTGAGAAAATAAATATGTTATAATAGCATTTAAGTTCATCTATGAAACACAGCTTGAGTACGATATATCAAACCTATTTTAACAAAACTGTCTCCACCAAGAATGACAAAATTCACGTATCCAGTTCCAATCAATGTGATGTATAAAGATGGATGTGTGGAGTACAAAAATTTGACCTTATATTGTATTTGTATAAATGTTATTCAACTTTCAGGTAAAAAATGTTCTCAGTATTTTATCGTTTACCAAACTTGATATTGTATTCGTGTGAATGTTATTATGTCGTGTTTGGGAGTACCAGAATTGGAATAAATTTAGTTCAAATGTTAACTCAAGTTTTTTCAATTTTAAATCCAAGCCTCCGACTAGGTACTCCAAACATAGCTTTAATGTAAATGTTAGATCAAAATTTGATCTCTACAAGGCAGCAGTAGTGAGCACGCCTAGTTTTCAGTCTTTGGTGCCTTGGAAATGTCCAAAATTACACAAAGTTAAAATTATATATTCGAGCTGAGGGGTTCCTTGCCGTGTTCTCTCTCTGTATTTATTTTTTGCATAGTAAAAATAGAGCTACAAACGTTTTAAGAAGTTGGAATCAATAGATCCCATAGTAATAAATCTTCGTCAAATGCATTGGACATACAACTAATTTGATGTGAATAGAGAGGCTGATGTCTTATGATATTAGTCCGCATTATTTGACTTTCTTACTTCAAATAGTTATTTTATTATTCTACTTAAAATAAACTGTTTATATTTTAAGGTTATTTATTGTTGGTCCTCTCTTATTTCCAAAAATAATATGCACATTGACACAATATGTACACTGTATCTGCATGGACACAACCAATCAATGAACTCATTCGAACCAGACGGTGAAAGTAATAATTCTATGTTTTTAACCATAAAGAATATAGAAAGCTTCAATTTTATCTTGACAACTCAAAATATGTTAAAAGGACAAAGTTTTAAAGTGGACTCCTCGACGTTGTAGTGGAGACCCAAATTAATGGTTTTTACATACACCAGAGTTTAATTAGATGTGTGTTTGTTTTTTTTTTTAACTATTAGACGAAATTAAAATTTTATTTTTTATGCATTAAATTTCACAAATATATATTACTTGTTATTAACGTATAAATGTGTAAATTAACCAAAAAAAAAATATATAAATGTGTAATAGTAATTTTTATGCTTATCTATTACTACTTTTATCCTAAAAGAATGTCACTTTTTGGGAACCCTGACTTACATTACGGTTCTCAAAAAGTGACATCCTTTCTTAGACGGGTAATATATGATCTTGGTTGGAACTTAGGTGTATCAATATTCCAATTGTTCGTAAATTACAAGTGAAATAGAAAATACAAAAAAATTAAATTAATAAGGGATGGGGAGTGGAGAGGAACAGACAAATTAACAACTAATATTTTGCTATTAACTCTCCAATGTTTGATGCAACCGTGTTACATAATTAGATGATAGTAAATGAATCAAACAAAGTCTCTTTTTTCTCTCCCTTGCAAATTGCAACAATTGACTTAATATTAAATTTTGTTTGTTTGTTTGATTTATTGTTATTATTTTTTTTTCATTTTAATTTTAAAGTTATGACTTTGCGAAAGTTTAGTTTTGATATAAAATAATAACATTACAAGATTCATCTCACAAGTTACTTTTTAATGGACAATTCATTTAGATTAACATTTCTTTAGGCATAAATCTTTCACAAACTCATTTCGCTTAAGCTTTCGTTCCGCTTTATGCCATGACAACCAAGATGTTGGTGACATAGCGTATAAGAAAATGAGTGATGGAGATCAACGGTTCCATATTTGTTGTCCATCACTCATTTTCTATCAACTATACAAGTGGTGTGAATTATTTCCACATTGGCCGACAATATTGAACGACTCTACCCTTTTCGTCAACCCTCTTTGTCTTGCACTTGTTGGTCTGAATTTGATTACTTGCAGCAAAACCCATTTTGATCTATCATATTGTGTATTGCTCAATCTTTCACAAACTCACCCCCATCTCTTTCTTATTCCTTTGCTTATTGCTCTACGAACCAGATCGATGGAGGTTGCTGCGGGGGTGTTTCTGGGGCCTATCTTTGAGAAGCTGCGAGACATTTTGGTGTCTCTGGTGGTGCCAAACTATTCCCGTCCAGAGGAAATCGATCTCAATCTTGAGTTGAAGAAGTTGCAGAAAATGTTGCCTGAGATTCGTGCTGTTCTCGCCGCCGCAGAGGAGAAGCAGATGACAGATGAAAGTGTCAAATCGTGGATGGACGATCTCACGGACTTGGTTTACGATTTGGATGATTTGCTCGACGATTTCGCTACTGAATCTTTGCGAATCGAGGCAGAATCTGAAGCTAGCAGTAGCACCACTCCTCCTAGTAAGATGCAAAAACTCATCTCTACTTGTTTCACACGTTTCACTACTCCTAGTGCTGCTGTTAAGCTTGATTACAATATGATGTCCAAAGTAAAAGAAATCAACGACAGATTAAAAGATATTGAAGCTCGCAAGAATACCCTGAATTTGAATGTAGATGTTGGAGGGAATAGATCCAACACAGTGCCAGGAAGACGGGAAACCACTTCTTTGGTAGTCAAATCTGATGTCTATGGTAGAGAAGAAGATAAAAATGCTATTCTTTACGAGTTGTTGAAGGCTGAAACTAGTGATGATAACAAAGTGTCTGTCATTCCTATTGTGGGTATGGGAGGGATCGGTAAGACAACTCTGGCTCGACTGGTATATGATGATGATCGACTAAAGGGTCATTTTGATCTCAAGGCATGGGTCTGTGTTTCTGATGATTACGATGCTGTTAGAGTGACGAAGACAATCCTTGAGGTGGTGACTTCAAAGTCTCATGAGTTACAGGCTTTAGATATGCTTCAGGTGAAACTGAAGGAGAGCTTGTCAGGCAAAAGATTTCTTCTTGTTTTGGATGATATTTGGAACGAGAAGTATGCAGACTGGGAGCTCCTACGACGTCCTTTTATGTTTGGGGCACCTGGGAGCAAAATTATCGTCACAACTCGGCTTGAAAACGTTGCATCAACCATGAGTCTGTCTCCAAGTTATCCTCTAAAATTGCTGTCCAAAGATGAATGTCTATCCTTATTTACTCATCATGCACTCGAGAAACAAAACTTTGATGCACATCCAAATCTGAAAGGAATTGGCGAGGAAATAGTGAGTAAATGTAAAGGGTTGCCTTTGACAGTCCTAACACTTGCTGGCCTCTTGCGCACTAAGAAACTCCAGAGTGAGTGGGAGAATATATTGAATAGCAGAATATGGGATTTACCTGAACAAAGAAGTGGTATTCTTCCAGCTCTTAAATTGAGCTATCATCATCTCCCATCTCATTTGAAGCAATGCTTTGCTTACTGTGCAATATTTCCAAAAGATTATGAGTTTCACATAGAGGAGCTAGTTTTGTTGTGGATGGGGGCAGGTCTTTTGCCGCTTTCAACAGAAAAGAATCAGATGGAAGATTTTGGCAAACAATATTTTGATGATTTGTTATCAAGGTCGCTTTTTCAACAATCAAGTGGTAGTAAGTCATTGTTTGTGATGCATGACCTTCTTAATGATCTAGCTCTACATGTTGCCAGAAATATATTCTTTAGGCTGGATAAGTTTGAGGGTGATGAGCAATTTAAAATTCCTAACCGAGCTCGGCATTTGTCATATATTCGTCAAAAATTTGAACAACTCCAAAAGTTCAGGCCTCTTGGTGAAGTTCAGCATTTGCGAACTCTGTTAGCATTACCAATTCAGAAACATTTTGCTCAAGATTATTACTTAGCAAACAAGATATTGTTTGATTTATTGCCAAAGTTACGATATTTAAGAGTGCTGTCTTTGTCTGGTTATTCCATAACTGAGCTACCGGACTCGATTGGTGATTTGAAACATCTGAGGTATCTTAATTTATCTCGGACTTCAATCAAACAGTTACGTGAATCGTTGAGTAATCTCTACAATTTAGAAACACTGTTGCTGCGTGGTTGCAAAAAACTTTCAATGTTGCCCCCAAACATTGGAAATTTAATTAATTTGCGCCATCTTGACATTGCTGGTACTGTGCAATTGCAAGAGATGTCCCTAGAAATCGGTAGACTGACGAATTTGCAAACACTGTCAAAGTTCATTGTGGGCAAACAGAATATGCCAGGACTAAAAGAGTTGATGAATGTGAGGCTTTTACGGGGAAGTATTTCTATTCAAGAGTTGCAAAATGTTCGAGATGAAAATGAGACGAATTTATGGGCTGGGCAAGACATTGAAGAATTAGAGTTGGCATGGAGTAGCGAGTTCAACGATCTTCGAAAAGAAAAGCTTGAATTGGATGTGCTTGCGAAGCTAAAACCACACAAACACTTGAAAAGGCTCACTATTGAGTTCTACGGGGGCACAAAATTTCCAAGTTGGATAGGTGATCCATCATTCTCTGAAATAGTGAAACTGACTCTTGGAGGCTGTAAAAAATGCATATCCTTACCGGCACTGGGGCAACTACCCAAGCTCAAAGAGCTACACATCCGAGGCATGCATGGAGTACAAAATTTGGGAGTTGAGTTCTACAGGGATGATTTTTGTCTGGGACATCCCTTCCCGTCATTGGAAAGTTTGATATTTGAGGACATGCCGGCGTGGAAAGAATGGTCATGTTCTACTGGTGTTGAAGAAGCTACAAGTCAATTCCCCTGCCTCCGCGTGTTCACAATACGTGATTGTCCTAAATTGATTAGGGTTCCACTTTTGAGGCTTCCCTCTCTTGAAACATTATATTTGAAAGAGTGTCATGAGGCGGTGCTAAAAAGTATTGTTGATGTGCAGTCGTTGGTAGGGCTTCAGAGTCTTGTCATCATAGGATGCAACCAACTTGTGTTCTTTGCAAAGACAGGTGTCTCGCCCACGCTCAAATCTCTTACAATACGGAAATGCGAGGCATTGACCTCTCTGCCAGATGGCATGTGCGGACTTAAAAGCTTGGTAATTGAAGAATGTTCATCATTGACGTCTCTGCCCGATGGCATGTGCGGACTTAAACACTTGGAAATTGATAGATGTTCATCATTGACGTCCTGGCCCACCGTTGGGTTACCCACAGCCCTTAAGGTTCTTACAATTAGTGATTGCATGAATTTGGAGTATTTTCGGAAGGTTTCAGAGCCGACGATGATGCTACAGCAGAAGGAGAAGGAAGATGACTTTAACAACATCAATGTTATTAATATGTCATCATTTATGTGCTTAATCATCTGGAAGTGGCCAAAGGTTGGAATGTTACTACTACCTGGGGTTGAGGGGTGCGTAAATAATAATAATTTCGCTAGTCTCCGTCAATTGAGCATACACGATTGCGATGTCTTGGAGTCGTTGTCCTTCCTAGAAAGAGGCTTACCCAACCTCAGACGGCTTATAATCTACAATTGCGTGAATCTCCAATCCTTGGCTATGACCAACCAGATTCTTCAAAGCCCTCGAATCCCTTGAAATCTACCGTTGTGAAAGTCTGGAGTCCATGTACTTCCCGGAAAGAGGAGGCTCTACCCCCAACAACCTCATATCGCTTACAATCAGATTTTGTTCAAATCTGAGGCGGTTGCCATTTTTTGATCAGAATAGTCAAACCCTTAGTGAGCTCACAATATATGATTGTCCACGTATTATGACGTCCTTTCATCAAGGGAATTGGAATTTGCCCCCCAACCTAATCAAACTTACTATTGGTGATAATGGGAAATTAGAGAAGCCCTTGTCGGAGTGGGATCTGCAAAGACTCACCTCTCTTCGACATTTCGAAATTCGTGGTGGATATCCAGAGCTGGTCTCCTTTCATCCTCCTGATCTGCTTCCTTCAACTCTAACCTCATTATGGATCGAGAAGCTGCCGAATCTGGAATCCATACCATTGAAGGCCCTCCAAAATCTCACCACTCTTCAACATCTAGCCATCTCTCACTGCCCTAAGCTTCGATCCTTGCCAAAGGAAGGCCTGCCTTCCACACTTCTAAGTCTTCAGTTGGTTCGTTGTCCACATCTTAGAGAACGATGCCAAGGTGACTACTGGCCCAACATTGCCCACATCCCCTACGTCAATTTAGATGCCCTGTTCCCCCAACATATTTAGGGCAAATCCCCTACATATGTTTTTCTTTTAGTGAGGTAAGCAGATCAAGTCCTAATTTGTTTTTTTCATTTTCTAAAGTCTGATGCCTCTTATTTTTCATACATCCAATATGCTCATCACCACATGCATCAAATTTCCTCCTCATTTCTTGTGCATCAATTAAATTTTATTTTATTTTTACAAAATGCTTAATTTTATTGATTCTGTAGCCAAAAGGAATTAGAGAAAATAAATCATGTATTTCACCAGGACAGTTCAATGTGTTTTTTTTTTTTTTTTTGTTCCCTAAATGTGGACAACAGTTCAATGTTGCTACATAGATTAAAAATCTGTAGTGGTCTAATGATCACTTGATTAACCAAACAATTAAACATCTCCTTGATTGGTCAGTGTTGAATCATATAATGTTTAGGGAACAGGGAAGTTTTTTTGTTGTTCTGTAAGTTCATGTAATGAAATGCTTTTTTTCTATAAATAATCTTAATTTATATCTTCTCACATGTTGATTTTATACTTTTTTTTCTTTAAATAATCTTAATACTAGCACTTTACTTTAAGAAATATATACTGCTGTCTAAAATATAAAAAATCATACTATTATCTTCACCCCCACGCCGAAATCAACATTCCTGTGTCCGCCTCTGCATTGAGTGTGTTTGTAGTCAAATGAACTTTTGGAGGAGAAAAAGTATGAATCACAAGAAATGAATTGCGCTTCTTGTTAATCAACTATATATTTTTGCAGCTTGGAGTCTGTTGTAGTTGGAAATTCTTATGGGAGCATTGGCTATGTCACAGTTCACTATTCATATGTTCCTTTGCATTTGCGGCTCTGCCTTATTGTCTGATAAATGAAATTGCTGTAATACAAACAGGAGCTGATAAAATTTGTGACAATCAGGTATTGAAGTCTTTTTAACGAATGGGCAACCCGGGTAACAGTTCCTATAGATTCAACAATTCCAATCAGCTGAAGACGTATAGCGGTTCGTCTAAAGGTATTTTCTTCAGCATCACTGCAGACTGATTTTTTCTGTCCTTGCTGTCCCTGTGGCTGTTGTTTTCATCCTGTTCTCTTTCCAAAATTACTGACCTCTAAAATTACATTACCTATATGTGTGGGTTTTCAATAGAGTTTGAGACGTGAAATTTATTTCTTGCATTTGCTTCCTCAAAATTGTTCTAGATACTGCTCTTGGCTACTAACCTTGTGCGATTTTTCTGCTCCGACTGATTTATCTTTGTGTTTTATTAGATAAGAATTCTATAGAATAGCTCTTGTATGCTTATTTGTAACAATGTTGATGTGAATAGGACTTTGAGAAATATAATTTCATCTACAGTATTTCAGAAGACATTTTTTTATATTTACTTTTTTATTTATCTTTGTGTTTTATTAGATAAGAATTCTATAGAATAGCTCTTGTATCGTATTAATTGCTGTAGACATTAAAATTTTGCAGTGCTCTAATGGAAGTTTTGAATTGTTCTTCCTCCCTATTTAGGTATATTAGTTTGATTAATCGTCTTGTCTATTAACTATGGGTGCCCAGGAAAGGCGACTGTGGATGCTTTAGCGGTGTTTGAAGGGAGGAATTATGGAGTTGTGAATTTGGGGAGTTGTACTCTGTGTTGCTGTCTAATTTGTACCTTAGTTTTGGAAGTTTCTTTTTCATTTATGGAGGAAGATTATGTAACCAATATTAGGGTGTGCCTGGTTGGCTGTCTTTCACTTTGTTTAAGAATATTTACATGAATCGTCCTTCACTTATATTAAAACCACTCCGAAAAGTCACCAGGAAAGCTTCGTAGCAAGTATTTAGTAAAAAAAAAAAAAAAATGAGAGCATAGTTGAAATCAATGTGAGAGCACTCATGAGTTGTGCTTCCTAAAAATTATGGAAATAGAGTTTTGTTTGGGCAGTTTAAGACGCGTATCCACTCTTAATCCATCATTGATTATTGAATTGTATGGGTATTCACTTTTTACCCATTGTTATCCACTCACTCAAATTTGGATGCCCAAAAGAGGAAAAAATAAGACTATTCGGATCAACAAACATATGGAACTAAAAACCACTCAGTTAAATTTGGGAGGGGCCCAAACTAATAGAAATATCATAAAATTATGAATATAAAATTTAAATATATAATATTTTTTATCTTCACAATAGAAATTCTACCATATATTTTTTTATTGTCTTAGAAGATCTAAGACAAAATTAATTATAAAGCAAAATCATTTTATGCATTCAAAAATACATTTATGTTGTGTTTGGAAGTGTACTAAATTGAAGATTTGAAATTGGAATTGAAATTAAATTCATTTTATAATTTAAACTAAATTTCCTCCAACTTCAAATTCAATTCTTTGATTCAATTAATCAAATTTTATTTTACATAGCATGTACAAATTGGACAAATGATTTAACCCAATATCATAAATCTTATATATCCAATTTAAGTATGACTTGCAAGTTGGAAAAATAAATAAAAAGCCACCGTGTTTCTGTGCATTACTAGTTACTACTATATATTGGGCCTTTACGAATATATAATGGGTTTTTGAATGGCCCAAAGCATGTGGGTTTTGGAAGGGTCTATTACTAATAATGTCCCATCATGAGACTCTCATGTAAGTTTGGGGGACCAAATATATCAAACACAAAAACTTTTAGTACTTCCTCTGTCCCTTAATAGTAGTCTATTTTTTTTTTTTTTTTTTTTTTTTATATGTCCCAAATTAGTTATCTTTTAAAAAAAAATTAAAGCATCTCTTCTTTATATTTCCATCATTGTCCTTTATCTTTTTAAAAAATTTCAAATTTTGTAACTATATATATTTAAATTAAAAAAGGACAGAGTAAGTTTATTAAACTGTCGAAGCAACAACTTTCTTCGTGTTCATCACGGCAGAGTAAGTTTACCCTAAGATGCCTCATGTCGATTCTGGAGTACATAGTTTGAGACTCGGCACCAACTAACCTTCTAACATTTATCCTTAAAAAAAATAATAATAATAAAATAAATAAATAAATAGTTTAAGTTACCATGACACCCAAGATATTGCTGAAATGGCATCCTAAGAAAATGGATGGAGAATAAAGATTTCACATTTGTTGTCCAGCACTCATTTTCTATCAACAATACAAGTGGTATGAATTATTTCCACATTGGCAGCCAATCTTGAACGACTCTACCATTTTCGTCAGCCCTCTTTGTCTTGCACTTAATCTGAATTTGATTTTTTTTTTTTTTTTTTTACATTTTAATTTTGAAGTTATGAGTCCGCAAAAGTTTACTTTTGATAGAATAAAAAATAAGAACATTACAGGAATCATAGTTACTTTTTAATGAACAATTCATTTAAATAAAATTATAACCGATTAATAAAATTAGTCTCTTAGATAATTTTTTAAAATGTATTATTTTAATTTAATTAAAAAATAAAATATTAATAAATTAATAAATTTTACATAGTAGTTGGAAAATATCATATGCCATTTTACAACCTCAAATTTTGTTGAGAGATAAGAACTCTAATTCAATTGAGAATGGGGGAGGTAATACAATTGCAAGCCCTTTAAATCCGACTCTGTATTTTATTAAACTATCAAAGCAACAACTTTTTTCATTTACATCATAATAGAGTAAGTTTATCTTAAAGTGTCTCATGTTAACTCTTAGAGCGCACGATTTGAGACTCGGCACTAATTAACCATTATCATTTACCCTTCAAAATAATAATAATAATAATAATAATAATTTAAATTATCATGACACCGAAGATATTGCTAAATGGCATCCTAATAAAATGAGTGATGGAGAATAAAGATTCCACATTTGTTGTCCATCACTTATTTTCTATCAACTATACAAAGTGGTATGAATTATTTCCACATTAGCGGACAATCTTGAACGCCTCTACCCTTTTCGTCAACCCTCTTTGTCTTGCACTAGCTTGGTCTGAATCTGATTAGTTGCAGCAAAACCCATTTTGATCTATCATATTGTTGTATTGCTCGATCAATCTTTCACAAACTCACCCCCGTCTCTTTCTTCCTTTGCTTATTGCTACTTGTTATCCATGGAGGCTGTGGGAATCGTTACCGTGCCGGTCATTCAGGTGCTGGTTGACAGGTTGTTCTCTCTGGCGGAGTCAAACTATGCCCGTCGAGGGGAAATCGATGGTCAGTTGAAGAAGTTGCAGGAAATGCTGCCAGATATTCGTGATGTTCTGGCTGACGCAGAGAACAAGCAAATGACACACGAAGGAGTCAAGCCGTGGATGGAGGATCTCACCGACTTCGTTTACCATTTGGATGATCTGCTGGACGAGTTAGATACCGAAGCTTTGCGACTGGAGCAGATCAAGCCAGAATCTCAAGCTAGCAGCAGTACTAGTACTAGTACTAGTAAGGTACGAAAGCTCATCCCAACTTGTTGCACTTGCTTTACTCCACCTCCTAGTGCTGTTAAGCTTGATAGCACTATGATGTCCAAGGTAGAGCAACTCACTCACCGATTAGAAGGTATCGAAACCCGAAAAAGGAGACTGGATTTGATAAGGAATGTTGGAACAGTTCTTGATCGCAATATGATGTCCAACACAGTACCAAAAAGACCGGAAACGTTTTCTTCCGTAGACAAATCTCACGTTTATGGCAGAGAAAATGACAAAGAAGCTATACTTGAATTGTTGTTGAGGGATGAAGACGGTGTTAACAAAGTATCTGTCATTCCCATTGTGGACATGGGAGGTATTGGCAAGACAACTCTCGCTAAGCTGGTCTACAATGATGAAAGTCTAGAGGGTCATTTTCATCTCAAGGCGTGGGTCTGCGTTTCTGATGACTATGATGTTGTTAGAGTGACAAAAGCCATTCTTGAGGCGGTCACTTCAGAAACTCCTAAGTTGGAGACTCTGAATATGCTTCAACAAAAACTAATGGAGAAGTTGTCCAACAAAAGATATCTTCTTGTTTTGGATGATGTTTGGAACGAGAACTATGAAGATTGGAACGTCCTACGTGCTCCCTTTATGGCTGGGGCACCTGGGAGCAAAATTATTGTCACAACTCGCCTTGGAACCGTTGTATCAACCATGAGTTTGTCTCCAAGTTATCGTCTAAAATTGCTGTCCAAAGATGAATGTCTATCCTTATTTACTCATCATGCACTTGAGAAACAAAACTTTGATGCACATCCAAATCTGAAAGGAATTGGCGAGGAAATAGTGAGTAAATGTAAAGGGTTGCCTTTGGCAGTCCTAACACTTGCTGGCCTCTTGCGCACTAAGGAACTCCAGAGTGAGGGGAGAATATATTGAATAGCAGAATATGGGATTTACCTGAACAGAGTGGTATTCTTCCAGCTCTTAAATTGAGCTATCACCATCTCCCATCTCATTTGAAGCGATGCTTTGCTTACTGCGCGATATTTCCAAAGGACTACGAGTTTGACAAAGACGAGCTAGTTTTGTTGTGGATGGGGGCAGGTCTTTTGCCGCGTTCAACAGAAAAGAATCAGATGGAAGATTTTGGCAAACAATATTTTGATGATTTGCTATCAAGGTCGCTTTTTCAACAGTCAAGTGCAAGTAAATCACTGTTTGTGATGCATGACCTTCTTAATGATCTAGCTCTACATGTTGCCGGGAATATATTCTTTAGGCTGGATAAGTTTGAGGGTGATGAGCAATTTAAAATTCCTAACCGAGCTCGGCATTTGTCATATATTCGTCAAAAATTTGAACAACTCCAAAAGTTCAGGCCTCTTGGTGAAGTTCAGCATTTGCGAACTCTGTTAGCATTACCAATTCAGGCACATTTTGCTCAAGATTATTACTTAGCAAACAAGATATTGTTTGATTTATTGCCAAAGTTACGATGTTTAAGAGTGCTGTCTTTGTCTGGTTATTCCATAACTGAGCTACCGGACTCGATTGGTGATTTGAAACATCTGAGGTATCTTAATTTATCTTGGACTTCAATCAAACAGTTACGTGAATCGGTGAGTAATCTCTACAATTTAGAAACACTGTTGCTGCGTGGTTGCAAACAACTTTCAATGTTGCCCCCAAACATTGGAAATTTAATTAATTTGCGCCATCTTGACATTGCTGGTACTGCGCGATTGCAAGAGATGTCCCTAGAGATCGGTAGACTGACGAATTTGCAAACACTGTCAAAGTTCATTGTGGGCAAACAGAATATGCCAGGACTAAAAGAGTTGATGAATGTGAGGCTTTTACGGGGAAGTATTTCTATTCAAGAGTTGCAAAATGTTCGAGATGAAAATGAGACGAATTTATGGGCTGGGCAAGACATTGAAGAATTAGAGTTGGCATGGAGTAGCGAGTTCAACGATCTTCGAAAAGAAAAGCTTGAATTGGATGTGCTTGCGAAGCTAAAACCACACAAACACTTGAAAAGGCTCACTATTGAGTTCTACGGGGGCACAAAATTTCCAAGTTGGATAGGTGATCCATCATTCTCTGAAATAGTGAAACTGACTCTTGGAGGCTGTAAAAAATGCATATCCTTACCGGCACTGGGGCAACTACCCAAGCTCAAAGAGCTACACATCCAAGGCATGCATGGAGTACAAAATTTGGGAGTTGAGTTCTACAGGGATGATTTTTGTCTGGGACATCCCTTCCCGTCATTGGAAAGTTTGATATTTGAGGACATGCCGGCGTGGAAAGAATGGTCATGTTCTACTGGTGTTGAAGAAGCTACAAGTCAATTCCCCTGCCTCCGCGTGTTCACAATACGTGATTGTCCTAAATTGATTACGGTTCCA